CCCCAAAACCCCAAAACCCCAAAACCCCAAAACCCCAAAACCCCAAAACCCCAAAACCCCTAGCAATCCCCTTGGGATTGAAAATTACATCTTATGCATCCCGTAGCCTTTTAAGATATAGTTTAGGGACCTTAAAATCCAGTGCTTCAAGTTTTCATCATTTGTCTTGACTTGAGATTCTTAAAAATAGATCTTTTCAAAGTGGGAATATTTTTAGGAGCTTTCTTTCTGACTACTTGAGAAGCTGATAAAACTCTTTTGTACTTTTTCTTCTTACTTTGAGAGGGAGGATCCTTATGGTTAATGTTAATGTCAGACTCTTCATGGTTCAGAGACTCTAAGTTTTGTTGTAAGATAGAGGTTAGATCATATTCTACTCCAGAGTATCTCAAATTGCTGATTTTTCTAAAGTACTTCTTTTGTAGAGGAAGTTTATTTCTTCTGAGTCCAAGGTCTCTTAATTCTTGGAGACTCAGCAATTTCATCCCTTTCCTTTCCTTCAATATACTGTATCTTGCTTTTATAATATTTGTATAATTTATTAACTTCGACCACAAAGTGATTTGCTGTTGATTTCATCCTTGAAGGGTTATGGTCAAAATTAATCTTCAATTTGATAATATGTATCATATCTTTCAAGCAATCTATGAAATTATTTAATATAGCTACAGTCTTTAGTTGGATTAGATTCGAATATGGTCTCTGCTATAGAAAGAGCATCATCTAAAGAGCCTAACTTGTAGCTCTTATTTATCCCTCTGTACGATATTTTAGAGTTTGTCTTCATCAAATAATCATATATCACCATGAATCATTCATGGAATTCTTTATTTGTCTCAGATAAAATTGTATTTAAGTTTGGATTCAAAATTTTTATCCCTCTTTTCGGCTTTCTTTTACCAATTTTAATTTGAGGACCAGAAGCTTCATGATTGGAGTTATCATCCAATGTGACCTGCTTCTTATTCTTTCATGCAGAAAGACTTTTGTTCCTTATTTGTTGACCATTAATAAACTTGCTCACGGTTTTTGAATTTCCTTCACATTTTTGATTAGTTTCAGTGATCTAAAAATAACGAATATTACATACTTCGTTGCTAATGGGTTCTATTAAGCTTGAACTCCTTTGTAACTTCTTTTCACTATCTCAAGGCTTGCTTTCAGAAGGAAGACAGCTTTGGACTTTAATAGGCTTCATGGGAGAGTAAGCAGGCAAACAAGTTTTGTCAATCTCTATTATCTTTACTTGTGACTGAGATCTTTTACTATTTCTGCTTCCAAAATCTAAATTTATGCTTATAGTTTACCACCTCGATACAGAAACTTGGTTTTCCCAGAGAATTTCTAAAGTGTGAGGTTGATGACTTACGGTTTTGTTTGATAGTCTATTAAGGTTTGTTAGAAGAATTTGTTAAAAATAAGAACATTAGTTCTATAATATGGCTAGGCCAATATCTATTAGGATTTGCTCTATGTACTCTTTGAATACTTAATCAACTCAGCTACTCCTAGCAGCTAATTTTATAAAGGTAAGCGTTAACAGCCTAGTCTACATAATGAAAGCAGAATATTAAAGACTCCATTATTTTAAAATTCTAATATCTGAAAGTTTAAATTCAGCTCCATAGCTAAGTTTACTCTTTTGCTTATGAACAAACAAAATAGGGTAGCTAAATATTACTATGTATTTATTTCTTAAGGGATTCTCCATTATCTTCATCATTTTCCAATTAAAATCAAGAATTTTAACAAAATCTATTTTGATATCTCAACAATGAAAGCTATTTTCTACATCTTATCTCTGTTTATAACTGTATTCTTAGTCCTCTGGAGTCAAGCTAAAAGAATAGCTGCTTGTGTCTGATGAAGACAGCACTCTTGGCTGATCTTATTCTAAAATATCTAACATTAAATAAGCGAATAAAGGGAGCCTTAAGTTATTTGCCAAATTCAATATCAAATAGTCCATTGGAAGTGTATCTTAACCTAGACTTTGCAACTGGTTTCCGTGGTGACATTGTCCTTAACGCTAATATATTGATAAGTTTGGTAAAAAAACTGAATTTTAAAGTACCAAATACTCTTACCTTTCTTTCTGGATAGACTTCTCGAAATCGGGCTAGAGGTCATCTGGGATTTCGATTTCTCATCTCTCATCTGGAGTCCGCTTCTCTTCCTTTTCTTTTTCTTTTTATTCTTTGCGAGATAATTAATAACCATGTGATATCTATACCATGAATTATTTAGAGGAAACAAATGGTTTATAAATTTTTAAATAAACTTTATCGTTGAGAATGCATTTCTTTCAATCTGTTCAATCAATGATTCGAAGAATTTTATTAGAAATTAAGTAAGCAATAATTAATAAATAGCTGATAGAGATCTGTAAATGAGGGAGCTCAATATCTTAAAGTGAGGGGATAAAGGATGTCATACTTTGGATTCCTCAAAACTCAATCAAACATTATTTCCCATCCAGACCGCTTTTTAGAATCTCCAAACTTAATGATGTCCTTATAAGCATATTCAGGAACATAGCTATCAGGGGTCCAATCTCTGCTAGCACCTCCTTCCTCCACCCTCTTATTCTCTTCCTGTTCCTGTTCCTCTTCTTTGCTCTCTGAGTCTAGTTCGAATTCTACTTTAGCTGACATTTTTCTATTTTATAAATTTGGGAAGGGGTTTTGGGGTTTTGGGGTTTTGGGGTTTTGGGGTTTTGGGG